GAAAATTTTCATGCAGCTATTTTATACTATTGGCTACAACTTTCATGTTTTGGCCAAAAGCTAATTCAGTAGGAATCATGGTGAAAGGTCAGGGTCCAATTGGGTGAAAAGACAACCCTGTTCGCTGAACTCCTACCTAGACCAATCTGGGTATTTCCGTCTTATCTCAGGGTACCGAGCTCGGATTGGGCTGAAAATTTACAGGCAACTAGAAAACATCATTGCCTACAACTTTCGTGTTTTGTGCTAAGGCCAATTCTGCCTCTAACCTGGTCGAACAGAAACGGGCAGAAAGGAAAAAAAAATGGACCTAATCTGGAAATTCATTCATTCATGTGCCAATCTTCCACAAAACAACATCTAAAACAACTAAAAACCACTAATAAGCAATTAATTGAAGTAAAGAGGAAGTTTGTAAGCAAGGTACCTTGACACCTCAAGAAAGATGATAACTTAGGGTTTTTCTTTCACAAATCCCTCCACTAGAAGCTTTAATCCTCCTTAATAAGTAACTTTGATGGAGTAATCTTCACTTTTAATGGTTGGAAATCAAGATTGGAGCAAGGGATTGAAGTACAAGATGAAGGATTTCCTCTCTTTTCTCTCCTCAAAATTTCAGCCAACAAGGGGAAAAATGAAGAAACATTTGGTCAAAATGGATGTTTAGTAAAATTAAGAAAAGTTAGTCAAAGTCCCCATCCAATGGTTTCATGACACTTGTCCCTCTCATTAATGTCATGCCTAACTTTTTTTGTCTTTCTCACACCTATCCACTTGGTACCTCTAAATATCTCATAACACCCGGTAAACCAAACCCAGTATCCAAAACTTAACCGAACTGGCCGAATTTTTCCGAATTTTCCACACTAGCGGGTTCCACGTCCGATATACGCTCTTAATTTCTCAAAAACTAACCGATACTAGAAAAATCATTTAAAAACTATATTTACTCATAAAATTGATCTAGAAAAATTTTCTAATAAAGAAAATGCAGAAAACGTGCAATTAAGAAAAGTACGGGTCCTCACACTCTCTCCCCCTTAAAGAAATTTCGTCCTCGAAATTTTTACCTTCATTTGCCTCAGACGAGTCCGGAACTGTTTGGGTGCCTAACGCATAAGCTTTTGCTGGCCCACTAGTTCGGTTCCCTCTTTCATTTGCTTGTTTTGTTTTAGCTCCCTCCAGTTGCGGAATACTACCTCCGCGTGACTGTCTCCTCGGACAGTTGCTAACTTGGTGTTCACCACTCCCACAAATCAAGCACTTCCGCCCTTTCCGTCAACAATCGTTCTCGGTATGATTGGCTTTTCCGCAATAGCCACAAGTCAGGTGAGAAGCCATCTTTTGGCTTTCTTGAGAAATTTCCTCAGGTCCGATTTGGCTCCCTTTAGTAGACCTTTCATTTCCCGCCCCTACCGTCCAGGGCGGGTAGGATAAAAAGTTTGCTTTATGCATTTTGGAAGGGACTATCGATTCACTTCGTTCCTCACTTATACTACCAGCTGCACCTCTTTTCCGTGTTTGGGAGGCTTTTACTTGTGCCTTTGCATTCTCGATTCGTTGAGCCTTCTAAAGGGCCTCCGTAAATGTATTCACTTGCGCTGCTGCCAACGCCTCTTGGATGTCCAAATTTAGTCCCTGTATAAACCGTCTCACTCTTCTCGGTTCTGTGGCTACTAATTCCGAAGCAAACTTGGATAGTTTGGTGAATTTCGTTTCGTATTCAGCCACACTTAAGGTCCCCTGGCGTAGTCCAATAAATTCGTCCTCCCTCCTTTCTTGAACTAAGAGTGGGAGGTATTTCTCGTTAAATTCTCTTACAAAATTCGCCCATGTCCAGACAGTCTGTTCTCTTTCCCACTTTGTTCTGATTACGTTCCACCATGCCCGGGCCGGTCCCTCAAATTGAAACACTGCGAAGTTCACCTGCCTCTGTTCAGTGTAATTCAAAGCTGTGAATATATTCACCATGGCCTCTAGCCATTGTTCAGCGATGTCCGGATCAGGCCCTCCAGCGAATTTTGGAGGTGCAAACTTCTGAAACCGCTCCAGAGCCTTATCCTCACTCGTCTCAGGGTTCTTGGGTTGATTTACGGGTATTCGACCTTGTTGATCTACTAATCTTGCCAAGATATCCGTCATTTGTTGCATTGCCGTCGCCATTTGGTCTCCGGTTGCAACTCTCGGTCCTTGTTCTTGTTCGGCGGACGTTTCCCTTTCTGCTCTAGGTTCTGGGGTCCGTTTAGTTCCACGGCCTCGACCACGTCCCTGACTACGTCTCCCGTCCATATTTTTTCCTTCCCTCTTTTTTTTTTTCCAAAAGTGGTTTAATGAATAAATGCAATAAAGTGACTCAAAAGTGTGTAGAAAGTGTCTTTCGAAAATCATCTCAAATGGTTGCACAAAACTTAAGGTTTAGAAAAGTTTGAAATTTGGAAATAGGTTACCAGGGTAGCCGGACAAGGGTATTTTGTTTGAACATAACTCCTTGTACAAAAGTCAAAATTGAGTGCCATTTGCGGCATTCAAAACTAGACATTCAAAGCTTTCAAACGGTATAAGAATCCCCTACTAGTTCATTTTGAGTAAATCGTAGCAAATCAGCAAAGTGGACTGTCCTGCTTTGTCTGTTTGTCCGAATGAAACTGGGAAGCTGCATTTTGTAGCTTGATTTTTTTCCCACTTGTGAAAAGATTTTAAAAATGATGTCTTCTGATGAAATGTATCATTTTGAACCTAGTTTCTAATTCCATAAACCTTTCTCAATTTGGACTTGTGTAGAGTTAGATATGGTCTGATTTCAAAACTATGTTGAGACTTGGTGATTGGAAATCTCATGAACAGGTTGCCAAAACCAGTCAACTTCAAACTATTATATCTTGTTGCTCAAAACTCCGAATTTAGTTCTGCTTGTTGCGTTTGAAACTTGGTTTGGAACTCCTATTGTGTTATAAATTTCAAAGGCTGATTCACTTTCTGTGAAGTTTTCCAAATTTCCAAACATTGCTAAAAAACCAAAACTGGTTCTATCCTGTCTTCTTGAAACTGCAACTTTGGGTTGAAATTTGGATGCCTTTTGGTTGGAATCTTGGAAAAGTGTCTTCAGGGAAGTTTTAATACTTTGAATTTAGTTTCCAACTGTATAAAGTTTTTTATTTTTGGACTAACCAAACTCAACAGTATAATGTTTTTTTAAGCGAGTGTAATTTCTTCCTTGAATGATAAGTGATTGTGAGTATGTGTGTATGATGGTTGGTCACTATTTTTTCAGGCGCTCAAGAGGATTTTGAAGGGAATCTCGAAGCGGACAACTAAAGACCTTATTTGCTCAATTACTCACTTGTTTTGAATTGGTGAGTGTCAAATGCATGATTGTTGCATAATACTTGAAATACTTCTTGTTAAATATGTGAATTGGACTTGTCGAGATGAGTGTGTACTTTATCTCACTCGTTCTCTTTTATTTGGTTAGATAATTGACTTGTCCATACTTGAAATTATACTTGTGTTTGACTCATCATCGATTGGAGAGCTATCTCATCGACTCATACTTGTAATCGTGGGGGACGCCCAAACTCATTGGCTAATTTTGCGAATCAAGCCGGCATGTGCTTGGTCGAGGAGCTTAGTGAACCGTGAGAAAACATGAAACTTGATCTATTGGAGAGATCTTGCTTGGCATACTAGCGTACTATTGCCACGATACACTCGAGTAATATCAAAACTTTTGACGTTCGGGCCCGGTTAGGGGGTGTAACGGTGGACCGAATTTGGTGAAAGTGGAGTCTACGAATTTGGTACTTACTCGATTGACGGAGAGTCAACGTGGGATATTTGGATCAAGACCTTGACCAAGCTGTGCGGATTTAGCTCTTGAGAGCTCCAATATCTATAATTGTTTCTGTTTATTTTTCCTACTTGAAATGTTAATCACTTGAAACTTCTAGTTTGATTATTGTCTCTATTTTTTTTCCTTCTCTCTTCTACTTGCTCTATTACGTGCTTGCACGATTTTCTTGGCCTCACTGAGCGTTATCTCACCCCATTAGTTTGTTTTCCTGAACAGGAGTTCGGAATGGAAAGAATTTTGGGGAAGCCGACTTGATTACCTTTTGATTAGAATTTTGGTTGTAATTGATTAGTCGACTTATGGTGGTTGTATATTTTTTGGGGATTTGATGTACTTTTGGAAATTTCGTGATGTAAGATTTGAATATTTATTTAAGAGAAGCGACTTTTCCTTATTTCGACTTTTATTATTGGTTGTTTACTCTTAAGTTTAAATTTGACTTGTACCGAGTCCTAGCGAGAGTTAGGCAGGCATTCCGTGGATACCCTTGGATTCGCCTTAGGGAGAAGTGGGAGTGTCACATTTTGCATGTACTATGGCAGCATTTCTTCAAAGTTGCACTTCTTCTCCTAAACAGTTTGAGAAGGATACTAAGAAGGTTGCTGCAAATTTTGAAACCTAGGTGATCCCATAGGTCTAACCTCTTGATCCTTCCATGAAAAATTAGGGTGAGATTATTCTTTGTCAACTAATGCCTTTGTTAGGTCTAACCTCATTGTATGTATTAGATAACGGATTATTCTTTGGTTGCAACTTCTGCTCACCATATGCTCTAGTGAAATTAACGTCTTCTATCATGGTAGGAGGATCACTATTATAGCAACCAACAGTAGAATGCCCATATATGTGACGATAAGAAGAAGGTTGTTGAGATTCATTTTCCTGATTCAAAAGTGGTTGCACCTATAGTATCTAATGACTCAACTCAGCAACCTATGAACCCAAATCTTTTATAGCACTCACTTCATGCACTTCTACTCTCTTATCTTAGATTGCCTTTTATTGAGAGTAACTAGCTAACAATTCATACAGGGCAACCAAGTCCTCCGGGGTCTTGTTCCCAATATAGCCTTCAGTTGCTATATCCACCACATTTTTGGTTGTTAGGGTCAAATCATTATAGAAGAATTGCACTTGTAAGGCCAAAGAATATTGATGGTGAGGACATTGAGAGAATAGTAGCTTAAAGCACTCTTGTGCTTCATGTATTGGCTCTTCGTCCATCTGTGAAAATGTACAAATCTTGTTCCTTAAATTGATGGTCTTCTGAGGTGAGTAGTATCTGGTCATAAAGATATTATAAATATCTTTCCATGGTCTCAAAGATCTTTTGGATAGATAAAGTACTCAAGACTTTGCATGATCCTTAAGACAATAAGGCAAGCACATCATCTTTAGATCATCTTCTAACACACCACTTAATGAAAAAGTTTGCACCATCAAATAAAATTCCCATATGAAGGAGAGCGGGTCTTCATTGACTAACCCATGAAAGGTAGGAAGCATGCTAAAATGTACTGTTTGAAGCTCATATTTTCTCACTCCTTCAATCAGGCGAATGCAATGGAGAGAAGCTGCCATGATAGGGCGTTGGATGTCCCGAAAACGAAGTCTAGTAGATGGTTAAACTACGTACTATTGATTATTGCTATTATTTCTGTTCTCCTCCACCATTTCGGATTCATCTGAACTACCTGACTCAATTATCTCCAAGGCAATATGAAATTCAAGTGATGATGATTGCAAAGCTTGTTTCTACAGACGATTTTGCTTCCTCAAATACTTAGCAATTTTTTCAATTTTTAGGTCAAATTTCAAGTCATCTTTTTGAGTTCGGGTCATATACCAAGCATCTAAGAGACAAAAATAAAAAATAAAAGTGAAAAATAAAATAAAAATAACTTTTAGTAGCAAAATTAAGCGTCGTTCCCTGACAACGACACCAAAACCTTGATAGATGAATGCTTGCAAGTGTACATGGTCAATCATAATAATAAAATCATTTAGAATATTCCAGGGTTGAACCTACAGGGATGCGTTGATTTTCTACTTTAATTAATTTAACAAAAATAACTAAATTTAAATGCAAAGGGTGTTGCAATCAGTACTCAAGAAATTAAATCAATAATCAAATCAAATAAGGTATAGGTGAGAAACAATTAGTAAAAGTTTAGGGTTTTAAATTTTGATCCAAAGTTAAGTTAATTATTCAGTTAATTTCTTAACATGCCAAGAACGTATCACGTGCAAGTAACTTAGATTATCTCTCAATACATCTAAGTTGTGCCCAATTAAACCTCATGTCTCTCTCAAAATCATATATATTTAATTAAACCCATTAAGATCTTAGGTGATGTAATTACGTCATATAAATTCTAACATATTCTCGTGATTAGATTAAGTACGTTTATTTATCTAGTGCATTGTTGTATATCCTTTCTCGGTTCAATATAAACCCTAAGAGCATGTCTATGGTGGCCAATCACAAATATGTAATTAAATCAAGAAAAAGAAATCAAGGTAAAAGTAAAAAATGTAACTAAGATAAATAATTGAAACTCCCTCACAAAAGCCTAACCCTAGATAAAATTTAGTTCATCATAATTGTAAGAGTAAACAAGAATTCAATATTGAAAAATACAAGACTTAGAATAAAGAGCATGTAGAACTTCCCGATTGACAAAAAATCTATATACAATAGTTATCAAATAAAACAACCAAAGTAAGGTTGATCTAAAGTAGCCTATAAATTTTAAAACACACTTGTCATAAGGGTACATAATTTTGAAAATCAAAATAATAAATTTTGAATAGTTTAAAAATATTTGTGTCATTTACTCCACAATGATAAGTGCTTGTTTTGCATATTTATGTGTGGTTATTTATGTGTATTTTAGTATGTTTTCATTTAAATTTGAGTTGAATAACTAGGTGACGAGGCTTATACCTACACTCTAAATTTTAACTTAAATCCCTCATTTACTGTAAGTATACAGATCATAGTTAGTAGTACTAGGGAATTAGGATCGATCTCCTAGGGAATCACCTTCAACTACCAAGACTTTTAGCTCACTCTATTATCTAAACTTATCAAGAATTTTAACTAGTTTAATCAACTAAAATGCTAAAGTAATGCAATGCAAATTAACAACTCGAAGTAACTTAACTAAACACAAGTGTTCTATGGTATAAAATCCATTAAATGTACATAATCATGGATGAATTAGCTAACTATCACTCGTGCTCTTATCTTGCTAAGGATGCATTCTACTCAAGCCATCGGAACTTGTTTTAACCAATGAATCGAACTTAGCCTACACTAGAGTTTCCGTACTTTCATGGTGAAATCTCAAATATAAACTAGATCAAGCACAAGAAATGTCATAAAGATCCACCTAAGTGCACCACTACTTTCGTGTGTCTACTTCTTAGGTTCCATTCATTCATTTTCCATTATTGTCAACTATTTTCAAAGATTAACAATAACTAAAATGGCTTGTAAATGGTGATCAAGCATTCACAAGTGTTAAAGCATGAACAAATTGTGAGAACCCAGAACGGAAAAAAAAAATTTATTATTATTATTATATATTATTTTATTTCTGTGCACCGTTTTCTTTTATTTGTTTTATTATATTACTTTTATTAAAATTTTATCAGTAAATATAGTTTTAAAATCATTTTACTAGTATAAGGTAGTTCGTGAGAAATTTGGAACGTATTTTGGACGTGGGACCCGCTAGTGCATTAAGTGAGAGAAATTCGGTCGATTCGATTAAATTTTGCATAAAGGGATTGTATTACTAGGTGTTAGGAGATGATTAGAGGTTACCTAGATGGATTAACCATGGAGGGACAAGAGGATAACTCTAAGTGAACATAAGGTGCCAAGTGTCCAATTTTGGTTGGCCAAACCATACCTAACTTTGCCTAACTTTCTTTGTCTTCACTTAAAAGTCAAAATTGGACCAAATTATCTTCATTCTTCATCTCCTCATGGCCGAACCTCTCTAAGAAACAAAGAGAAAAATTCCTCAACCTTCCATCTTCTCATCTTGCTTCAACCTTGAAAATCAACCGATTTCTTCTTGAATTAGTCCATAAAATCATCTTGCTAGGAGTGTTTGAAGACCTTGGTGGTGTTGTTTTGGAAGAAAACTCTCTAAGCTTCAACCTTTCTTGAAGATCTAAGGTATCTTGCTTGGAACTCATCTTTTGTTTCTACTTTTGGCCAAGTGGTGCCTTATAGTAGCTATATGCGTGATTGTACGGAAGATTTGGTGGATTGGAGTGAAGTTTCCTTAATTTTCTGATTTTTCTTGGAATTTTCTGGTTTCATATGGATGTGATGTTGTGGTCATCTATGTTGGTTGATAATAAGGGGGAATGACTCTAGGAGGTGTGAATTAGTGATGATTGCAACCAATTTTGAAGTTGGATTGAAAAATGAAAAGTTAGGGTTTCCAAACCCCTAATTCTGTCCGGTTTTGTATCTCAGGCTTAGAGGCCGAATTGGACTTTGCTCAAAACATGAAAGTTGTAGGTATTGATGTGTTTGAGGTGCCTGTAAAATTTCAGGTCATTTGGAGTAGTGTAGAGAGAGATATGTCGATTTTACTGTTGCTGTTCTGGGTTGATCAGAATGCGAAAACTGCACTAGTAATTAGCCATTTTGACTAGAATTTGTTTGGATTTTGTTGTTGGTGTCTTCTGATGAAATGTAGCTGGATGTCGTAGCTATCATATGCCTTTGGAATCACTGCATTTGGACTTGTGTAGACTGAAATGGACTCATTACAGTGTTGTGCAATTTGTGAAACTGCAATTTCGGTTCTGGTTTGGTAATCTGCATTTTTGACCTAGTTGTGCTAGGATTTGGACCGAGTGGCCTTCTACATTGTTGTAGCCCTGGTTCTTAGCTTCGAAACGGTGGGTCTTACACCCTAATCCGATAAGCGTAACGCAATTTGTGCCATTACCGCATTAGGAGGTCAAAACTGTTTTTTTTGTTGTTGGAACAAATGAGTTACATTTCCTGATTTTCTGGTTTGCTTTCATGCTTAAAATGCATATGAAACCCTATTGGGGTTGTGATTGGTATTGTTTATGACTCGTGTTTGAGTCTTAATTGTACTTTCTTGATTATTATAGGGCGTGCCGGTGATCCGAGGCTCACGTCGGGCGAAAACTTGTGAAATTACTTTGTTTGACTTGGTGAGTGTACTACTCACCTATTTGTTATTCCGTGGCTTTCTTGTACTTGAATTCTGTGTTTTGGATTAGATGGGATGATTGTTTGGACTAGGTGAGGCGAGGGTGTACTTTACCACTCTCGTACTCTCTGGCCTACTTGTTTGGATATGATATAACTTGAATACTCTTGACTGTATTTGATTTGGGTGTCGCTTGGATGCCGATCTTGACTGTACCTCTGGATCTGTACTGTTCACTTTGAGCTCTACCTCATTGGAAGTCAATGGACTCGAGCCAGTAAGGACTTGGTTGGGGACATTTGACAAGCCATGGGGACTGTATTTGAGAATCTTTGGGTATGAGACCCTAGATTCCGGTTTACTCGAGTAATACCAATTCTGTACTGTGTGGTGTTCGGGCCCGGTAAGGGGAAAGTGAGGTGGACGGATAATTGGAGTAAAGAGGAGTCTACGGTATGATTACCTGATATACATTGACGGAGGGTCAATGAAATGAGATCAAGTATGGCAAAGCGGAAAAGGGCTCTTGAGAGCCATCCGTATCCTTTTATTCCTTACACTTGGGTGTTATTGCTTTTACTTACTTGACATGCGTATTTGGATTGAATATTTCTTGTGTTTACGTGCTCTTGGTATATGTACGTGATAGTACCTCATTGGGCGAAAGCTCACTCCGTAAATTTTGTTTTCCTTACAGGGAAGTATCTTTTGGACTTTTGATTTTGAAGAATGAGTTGAGTAGAGCTAGTCAAGAGATTTTGTATAGCTCCTCAATAGTTGGAACCTTAATTGTACTTGGATTCAATACTTCCTTTTGGCTTGTAAACATACGAATGTGGTTTGTAATAGTGAGTGTACTCTTGTCCAATGTATTATATTTGGCTTGTATATATTCTTTTCAGTGATTGTTGGATTACCTGTATTCGATTGGGTCTTGGCGGATGATGACGTGGCAATCACTATTCACCCTACGTTTTGATTTTTGTTTTCCGTTTTACGATTGTTGGGTTGGCTAAGTGCGCTAATAGTTTTCCCGAACGACTT